GCGACCCTAGTGAGGATTAAGCGGTGTATAGATGATGGATGGATGGATGGTTGTGGTGTCACTGCTCCGGACGGTCACACGGCGATGACAACCAGCCTGACTTCAGCTTGTAAACATGGAGCATGTTGGGTATTATCTGGCATCCCGATGACTCCGAGCAGCTCAGGAAGTTTCAGAGTGGAGCTACAAACGTTAAAAGTTACCAAAAAATTCCGGTTGCAGCATCAGATTTTTTTTGTCAGGAGGGTGAAACAGCCTGAAACTCATGTAGCGAGGCCGTCTTTAGTGCCGCATGCAGCACAAGCCCGAGCTCGTCTGGTGGGAAGAGCTGAGGACAGACAGAGGAGAGCCACAGGAGGAGGGCTGTATTTTCACATTCTGTCATTTCTTTTTTTTTGCCTTTTTCCAGATTTCTGCCTCCTGCAGCTTCATCTTCCTCCTCCCACAGCTTCCCGTGTCACACTGGGAGATTTCTGTAACTTTCCAAAACCAACAATCCAACACTCACACCCACGTCTCTCAGCTCTTCAGTTTTTTTTAAAAAATCGTCTCCACCAGAGAAACGCAGCCACACTGTAAATGTATTCCTAAACCTATACGCACTTTTGTCTCCATATTTAAATGAAATCACCTCGTCCTCTCTCGCTCTCTTTACACGTCTGATGTAGTTCTGAATAAGAATAACCCCGCCGTCACTCAGACAGTTTAACTGACGCCGCCTCTCACTTTATACACTTGAGGTTTCGCAGATTTCTTTTCTTTCAGGACTTCATCTGACACTTGAAACTACAACTCCTCGCCAACACTTCAGCTCAACGGCGCACAAACTTCAGCTGAATCATCCCCCTCACTTACTTCTTTCACTTCAACTTCACTCATATTTAAGTTTAATCAGATCTTGTGACTGCAGCTCGTTTTAGCTTCTGTGTTCAGACTGTCGCTTCAGCTTCTGCTATTTTTACATCTTATTTCAATTGTTAAGTACTCGCACTTTATTTGATTTTTTTTTCTTAGTATAAACATCTGAACTCCAAGCATTTTTTTTCATAATTTTTTATTTGCTTCTGTCACATTTTTACTTACTGTGGACTCATTTCTCACCGCAGCATAAAGTCCTGCACCTCTATGGAAACAACATAGACGAGAACGAGAGAGAACTCTGTGCAGTTTGACACATCTATAATGTCATATAGTCAGCTATACACAGCCTGCAATCCACCGGAATACTCTGAATTCTGCTCACGTTGCCTGCAGAGTCACTGAGGGCCTTATGGTTGTAAGAAGAAGAATTTAGTTTTCTGGTTTGAGCAACTAGTTTTATTTTTGGCCAATTTTTTAAACGAAAGAATCAAAGGATTTCTGATTAACTGTTAGAATTTTGAGCCTGTGTTTGATCTTCTACTGAATGGTGCATCACAGATGAGCAGTTCAATGACCCCTGGAAAACTGATGATTTCTGGCTCTGATGACGGGTGTCATTTTGCGGGGTTTTTTTTTGTTTTTTTTTCAAAATACTCAATTCTGTGTGGAAAAGGAACTAAAAACAAGAAGAAAACAACTAATAATGAAATGTTTTTTTTAAATACACAGTTAACTCTAAAAAAGAACAATAAAATCAACTAAAGATACCAGATTTTTACCCACATGTTCTATAAACTGAGCTCAAACCAGCCTACACTCATCGACAGGACTTTTACTTTGGAGGATCTTCCTGACAGAAGCTTTCTGTCTTTATGAGGACACACACTCGCTGTTTACTGTCTAATCAGCGACAGTTGATTCATCTTAAGGGTTTCGGTCCTGAACATGTTTCCTTCACTTCAGAGGACACAAACTTGCACACATTTCCTGCAGATCTAAGTAAAACTCAACCTTTTTCTAACCTTAGTTTGAAACTCAAATCTTTTTGTTTACTCTAAAGTCTAATTATTCATGTTTGGGGGATTTGTCTTTTGTCCACTAAGGGGAAATATGGTCATCATTCTCTTTTCC